GTTAGGTTTAGGGTTAGGTTTAGGGTTAGGTTTAGCGTTAAGTTTAGCGTTAGGGTTTAGGGAATGCACGAATTTGCCCTCCGTGATTATGTCATTGCGGTAGGGTCACGTTTTTCCTTAGCGCTTAGAACGGCGCGAATTAGTCTTTGCACTTATGTCTCCGCGGATAAGGGCTTCGCGGATTTGTGGTGGAACCGAAGTCCACAAGTCTTCAAATTACCGAGGTTGGATACCCCTGCTGTAAAAATGTATTGTGGCTCCTACTTTCCAATTTTGACAGTATAGAATTTGTTTTAGCATGGAGTGTCCGAGCATTCCTGTTTTCATCTCCCCTTTTTTCTCCCTCCTCTGCTGTTTTTCACCCGACCGAAGATTTACGGACACTGAGAACGTTTTTGGCCGTGCTTGGCAAAGGATGCCTCGCGTCTTCTTTCAACTGTCTGTACCTGTACACGGGAGAACTGTACCCCACGGTGATCAGGTATGTCGCCCTAATACCTCCGAGGCTCTTGAACCCTTGACTGGTTTTCAAGTCTTCATAACAGCACTTCAATGTTTTCTGTTGTATGATCCAAGTGGCCAAATTATTCCCTCTTTGAGTCAAAGTTTGCGCTATCACATACCTGGTGCAGAACCAGGAGTGAAAAATCAGCAAAACCAATCTCTTAAAATGTGAATTCGAGGCAGGTGGTGAGAATTTGAACCCACGGCCAGGAATGAGAAGTTATACAGGTAGATCTCGACGTATAACCAGAGTCGGGACCAGAATTTCCATCGCAGAGCAAGACAGTTAAGGGAGCTTAATGACCCTTTTTTTGCCACCGTTGTTAAGCAAGTCATTCAGCGAATCTGGATTGTCACACTGATTTTGGTTGTCGGAATCTGGCTGGGAAAGTCTCAAATGACAATCACGAGACATGGCACACATCGTAAATACAGGCTGCTTCATAAATACAGGTAGTCCTTGACTTACAACAGACCGCTCAGTTACGACAGCACTGTAAATGTGACTTACGGCACATTTTGCAGCATCTCTCTGGTCATGTGATCAAAAATTCAAATGCTTGGCAACTGCTTCATATTTACGACAGCTGTAGCATCCTGGGGCCATGCGATCCCCTTTTGCGACCTTCCAACAAGCAAAGTCAATGTGGGAAGCCAGATTCACTTAACAACCGTGTTATTAACTTTCCAACTGCAGTGATTCCCTTAACAAATGTGGCAAGATAGATTGTAAAACGGGGCAAAACTCCCTTGGCAAAACGTCGCGCTTAACAGCATCAAATTTGAGCTCGATCGAGGTCGTAAGCCGAGGACTACCCGTACCTGAATTTTAATCACACGACTGTGGGGATGCTGCCCACAGTGGGGATGCTGCCCCCATAAGGGCAAGGCGGAAACCCACAACAAGCCAAGATCAAACATTCCTAAAAGGCAGGCTGGAGTGAAAATTCAGCTATTTATTTTTCCTTTCATCGGTTTGTGCCTTCTGTCCTTCAAAGGCGGTTTGTTACTGTTGCAGACAAACCGGGATGGGGCTCGGGAGCACCCTGGCCCGTGTGGGTGGCATTGTGGCACCCATGATCAAAATGACGGGTGAACATTGTTCCTATCTTCCATCGCTCATCTACGGGACGGCCCCCATCCTCTCGGGTATTGCCGCCGTCTTCCTGCCCGAGACCCTCAACGTGCCGCTTCCTGATACTATAGACGAGGTGGAAGGGAGGTGAGTTTCTTGCACACTCAGAAAAGCAAGTGTGATGCCAATAGGGCTTGAGGGGGGGGGAGGTGTTGGAGTAGGGTCCAGGAATGAGGAGAACTGGGTTTCTCAAATTTTGACTTCAATTCCCAGAATCCCTATGCAAGCTGGAGAATTCTGGGGGATATAGGGAATTCTGGGAGTTAGTTAATATATTTTATTCGTATCCTAACTTTATTATTTTTATGAATAACTAGCTGATAACATGGCGTTGCCCGGGTATTCATTTATCCTAATCCATACATTTGTCCTCAAAAATAATCTTGGACCAAACGTAATGCCTAATGTTGGATTTTCCACCTTACCAGAGGGAGCCCCCTTGTGGAGGACTGTTAAGCGGCTACCATGGCAACTCCACTACGCTGTACAGTAGAAGCCATTTTACGACAGTACAGTAGAAGCCATTTTAAGGCACAACAGGCTGTATCTTAACAGAACACCCCCCAAGGATGTTAGGGATGTCTTACCCCCATACTATTAATTTCCAGAGAGTAAACTGGCTCTCCAAATCGCTCGCTGGGGAATTCTGGGAGAGGGAGTACACTCAATTTAAAAGGATCTCCTGAAATTTCTGCTTGTTTTTAAATATTCCAGAATAACCCCGGAGAGACAGTCCCTTACCGGTCAGAGCCAAGAACCAGTTTTGCTCCAGAAATTGGAGCAAAAGAAAACCCTGGATGGCGAAATTTGCTAAAATGGGGAAAACAAGGAATCAGAAATTACTGCAAGTTCATTAGATGTGTTTAATTGTCTTATTATTTTTTTTGCCTTTGGGTGGGAGGTTGGATTTCCAGATTTTAAAAAAAATCAACCAAATAAATGAATAAGTATTGTTGAAAATTGTAGTCATGCCTCTCTGATATTTTGACGACTGGACTAAGTCCCATCTCTAAGAATGTGCTAATATGCAAGTAGTCCTCAACATACAAATCATTCATTTAGTGACATTTCAAAGTTATACAGGTGTTTTCTTGACTTATAGCCATAGTTGGGACTCAATTCGCACTAAAATATGATTTTAGAATTCTGAACGAACGACCACCTTTTGCGATCACCTCATGACAAAGGGAAGTCAAGGGGGAAGCCTGATTCACTTAACAACCGGGTTAAGAAAATCCATAAAATGGGGCGAAACTCACTTAACAAATATCTCACTTAACAGAAACGTTGGGCTCGATTCGAGGATTATCTGTAACATTTTTAGAAAGTGAAAATATCAAGGTTGCCCAAGCTTTTGCAATCAATATTGGAATAATGCATCTCCTAAATATCACTCTTAACAGCCCCCCCCCCAACCTCCCGCCCCAGTGTTGCCAATTCCCTCTTCCAGACCCAGACTGGCTGAGGAGGATCTCTCTGGATTGGCCAGCTTTAAACAAATCTAGACTGGACAATAAACAATATTGCCTGTTCCCATGCAGCAGCCGCATATTAGAGACAACCTTGATCTGAGCTCTGTGGCTCAACCGTTGCCGCTTAGAAGAAAAGAATTAAAATCCACATCCAATTGCTGGACCGACACCACAGGAGTAAATAAAAGCAGTATTTATTCGCTAATGCTTATTACAGCCTTAAAATAAAATCGGGGAGGAGGGGAGGGAGCCAAAATATATTTCAGCTTCTACTGCAAGAATAAAAGATGGGGTGGGAAGCAGTGTTCCCTCTAAGCTGCGCACCTGCGCGGCTGCGCACATAACAAGAAAACACCGCGCACAAGTTTCAAACTGCAGCCCAGTGTCTCTTTAAATGTGACTGAAAATATCCCCCCTCCCTTTCCTTTCCTTGTTTCCCATTTCCTTTCCTTCTCTTCCCTTCCTTCCTTCCTGGGGGTCTGAGGGAGAGGGAGGGGACCCTTTTCCTCCTTGCCCCCCCCNTTGGTGGGGGGGTTTGAGTGGGGAGGTAAACATTTGTAAAAGTTTTTTTTTCCCTAAAATTTTCAATTAAAAAAAAAAAGACTTGCAGACTTCAACTCCCAGAATTCCTCAGCCAGCATGGATGCAAGGAATGAGCTTAGATTAGATCACGGGAAGGAGGAAGAGGAGAAATAGACGCCGCCAGTTAACCCAGAGAGGGCTTAGATTCAGCCCTGGATGAATTACAGGTAGTCTTTGATTTACAACAGGCAGAGGGATTCTGGGAGTTGAAGTCCACAAGGCTTCAAGCCGCCATGATTGGAGATCTCTTGATCTAGAATGACCCCCAGAGCTTTCACTTAATGCCGACTGGGGAATTCTGGGGGTTGAAGTCCACAGGGAAATGCCAAATTTGGAGACCCCTGATTGACATCCCGCCTTGAGCTCGGGAGTTCAAGCATTCCCTCCTTCCAGTTTCCCTGGCACAACAATCCTCCGAGGGAGGGTTAGCAGTCCATTGCACAATGTGCACAAATTAAAGGTTAATTTTGTTTTGCTCCTTGGGGGGGTGTTTTATTTGCTTTTATTTGCATGTTGCTCTTTTGATTGACTTATTTTTATCAGATTGTTTTTTAAAGTTGTTTAGGAGTCTAGTGGCCCACTTCAGGAAACTCAGTTCTGCAGCAATTCTTCTCATCCCCAAGGAGCTTACAACCTCTCTCCCCCCCTCTCTCCTTCCCTCCCTCTCTCTTTTCTCCGTGTCTGTCTCGTCTGTTTCCCTCCCTCCCTCTGTCTTTTTGCCTCCCTCCGTCTGTCTGTGTCTTGTCTCTTTCCCTACCTCTTTTCCCACCCTCTTTCCATCTCTTTCCCTCCCTCCCTCTTTCCCCCGTCTCTCCGTGTCTTGTTTCTCTATCTTTCCCTCCCTCTGTCTCTTATCTCTTTCCCTCCATCTTTCATGTCTCTTTCCCTCCCTCCATTTCTGTCTGTCTTTGTCTCATCCCTTTCCCTCCTTCTTTCCCCCTCCCTCTTCATCTCTTTCCTTCCCTCCCTCTTTCCTTCCTTCCCTGTCTCTCTTTCCCTCCCTATCTCTCTCATCTCTTTCCCTCCATCTTCCTTGTCTCTTTCCCTCCTTCTGTCTCTCGACTCTTTCCCTCCCTCTCTTTCTTGTCTTTCCGTCCATCTCGTCTCTTTTCCTCCCTCCCTCCATCTGCCTTTGTTTCATCTTTCCCTCCCTCTCTGTCTCTTTCCCCCTCCCTCCCTGTCTCTGTCTCTGTCTCTTCCCCTCCTCTCTGCCTCTTTCCCTCCATCTTCCTTGTCTCTTTCCCTCCTCCTGTCTCTCTCTTGTCTCTTTCCCACCCTCTCTTTCTTGTCTCTTTCCCTCCATCTTTTCTCTTTCCCTCCCTCCCTCCATCTCTGTCCGTCACTTTCTGTTTCATCTCTTTCCCTCCCTCCCTCCCTCTCATCTTTTTCCCTCCCTCTCTCTTCCCCCACTCTCTCTGTGTCTCTTGTCTCTCTCTCTCTTTTCTCTAACTGTTTTCCCTTCCACCAGTGGGACCTGGTTTGCAACCGGAAGACGCGGAGACAGATGGCCCAGTCCATTTACATGGGAGGAGTTCTTGCTGGTGCTCTTATACTTGGGAGCTTAGCAGACAGGTGGGTGTTTATAAGCAGAGCCATGCATTGAAGGTGAACATAGCCAGAAACTGGGGAATGCAACCATGATGGATTAGTATGTATCCCACTTCTGCCACCAATCCTGCCCCTCTAAGTTTGTGGAAGTCACTCTCTTGGCCTCAGCCTTCTCCCCTGCCTCCCTGTGGGAGTAATTGTGGCCTCTCATAAAAGAGAAGGAGTAAGAGAAAGGGAAAGGGAAAGAGGAAAAAGAAAAAAAGGGAAAGGGAAAGAGAAAGGAAAGAAAAATGAAAAAGAAAGAAAGAGAAAGAAAGAGAAAAGGTGAGGAAAAAAATGAAAAGAAATGGAAGGGAAAGAGAAAAAGGAAAAGGAAAGGAAAGGAAGGGAAAGGAAAAGGAAAAAGAAAAGGGAAAGAAAAAAGAAAAAGGAAAAGAAAAAAGAAAAAGGGAAAGAGAAAAAAGAAAAAGGGAAAAAAGAAAAAGAAAAGAGAGGACCAAGAGAGAGATCAAGTTAAGATTCCACAGGTGGAAGATGAATGGCCCCTCCCATAGGACATAAAAGAGGAGCGAAAGGGGAGTGGACTTTTGCAGGAAACAATCCGTTTGTTCGGTCATTAGATTCGTTTCAGGAGTGTGGAGATCTGTCCGTGAATCTCAGAGACTCTGTGCCCAGAGTCTTTCCTTGCATTTGGGAAAATATTGACATGGCAGCTTTCCAAGATAGATAAGGTCTGTGGTCATAAATACTCCTTTGAAAGACTGTTTGCCAGGCCTTGGCTGAAGGTGAATGAGAGGAATTCACATTCGTTTAATAAAAAGGGTTTTGTCGGGACCAGGACTCTGCCTCCTGCTTTTTGAGGAAGCCTAGATCAGAACCACTGCTAATAATATCAATATACCTATTATGACTGCAACCTCTGAAGAAGAGGAAATGGTTCCCATGGCTTGACGCAGAATTCTGTGCCGCAGGTTCGGCCGCAAAGCAATCTTAACTTGGTCCTACCTCCAGATGGCTGTTTCGGGGGTGTGCACGGCTTTTGCTCCCAATTATGCAGCCTATTGTGCCTTCCGGTTCCTGGTTGGCATGGCGCTCTCTGGCATTGTCCTCAACTGCATGTCTTTAGGTAAGAGGGGAGGAAGTTGGTCAAGCGTGGGTGGGGGGGTTGGACTAGATGACCTACAAGGTCCCTTCTAATTCTATTAATGTTAAACATCTGTTAAACAAAACCAGCTCGGGAGGGGGAGAAATGGTCAGGATGGGAAAAACAAGATATTTACAGGATTCCAGAGTATTAAAGGCCACTTTTAAGAGTTTGCAGCCTAAACAAGGGTTTCCCAGTCACTTTTAAGATGGATGGATTCCAGTTCCCAGAATTTCCCAGCCAGCCATACGTGGACTTCAACTCCCAGAATTCCCCAGCCAGCAAGTTTTCAAATGTATGGACTTCAACTCCCAGCATGCAGCTGGGAAATGCTGGGAGTTGAAGTCCACGTATCTTAAAGTTAGCAGAAACTTTTAAAATAGATTTTCACAGGATTCCCCAACCAGCATGCTGGGAGTTGAAGTCCACGCATTTCAAAATTTGCTGGCTAGGGAATTCTGGGAGTTGGAAGTCCACATATCACAAAGTTAACTGAAACTTTTGAAATAGATTTTCCCAGAATCCCCCAACCAGCATGCTGGGAGTTGAAGTCCACGCATTTCAAAATTTGCTGGCTAGGGAATTCTGGGAGTTGAAGACCAGGTTGGATTCGGGCCTGACAGACCGCTGTCGGGAGCAAATAGCTGCGAGGAGGGGGGATGCCAAAGGTTATTTTGCAGGCTTGCAATTTTGCGCATTCCTCACTCCTCAAGCAATGTTTGGTCCCCAGCGTGCTGTCGACCTATCCAAATATTTATCTCTGCGGTTTGCCATACCTGACTCTTAATTTGATTAAGACCCACTGGGAACAACAGGTCATATGATCTGCAGAGATTGCAGGAATAATTGAGGGTGGGGGGGACACATCACTCTCCCTCAGAGCCAGGGAAGGAAATGATGCAAGCAGAACCTCAGTGTCTCTTGGATTGCCAATTGAAGTTGGGGAAAAGGCACCATGTGGTGCTGTTGTACGCTTCTCTGGCCACTTTTGCATTATTCGGGAATGACTGAAAAAGACTTTTTTTTTTCATGGTATGGAGCAAGGTATTATTGCTCGCAGAGAAAAGGGGTTTTAATGTTGGAGGAGAGGAGCCTTGGGTTGGAGGTAAGGTGGCAACCAATTTGGAACTCAGTAGTGTGTCAGCGTTCCAAGTATCATGTAGAATTAAATCAGAGTCCAAGGCAAAACAATCCTTAAAGTTCCAATTTAATAAAGCAGACATCTTAGCACAACTTGAATCAAGTTTTCTCAAGGTTGACAGCTTCAAGAGGACTTCAACTCCCGGAATTCCTCAGCCAGCCATGCT